ACCACTTAGCCAGCTCCCTCATCTCTCCCCAGCTCTTTAGGGGCACTCAGTGAGACACCTCCCTACCCCTAGAGGGCAGCACCTTCTTCATGGACCATGGCAGCCCAAGCAACCAAAAGCTTGGAACCTGTGTTCTTATCTTGCCCTTGTCATGTTTGCCCTTTGACAGCCTTTAGTCCAGCCATACCCTTTCTAATTCAATACTTCCTAGATTGTATCTTTACCGTTTTGCTTTATTTTTGTTTTGATAGTATATTAATGCTACTTTAGAACCCCACACAAATCACTTTTCATTTACCTGAAATTATAAACTGTCACGTCCTATGCTGAAACATCACTGATCACCCTTTGGTGCTGTGTGCAGTGGTACTTAGAAGTAGCAGAACTTCAGTTCTCTTCCTTATAGATCTAAATGTGTAGCTGTAAGCTCAGATTGTTTCCTCCTGGTATGAGCTTTACCTTTTTAGTCCTTTGTATTTCAGACATTGGAATTCATGATACGGTCCACATGTCTACTTTGATCAGAAAGCCGTGATGTCTTGTGGACATCATAGTCTCTCATTAAAAAGACATCAGGACATTTGCCTGTACATCAACTCCCATCGTCCTTCCCTGTACCTCCATAAAAGTGGGACCTTTTTATTTCTCATTATTTCCCTTTCACAGCCTCTCATCTGGTTCCTAATTCATGAGGCTGGATAAAAATGATACTGAGAACATTTGTAATTAAGATTTTGTGGGGCTCTTAATCAAGTGCTGTAATGGGTTTCTGATGCATCACAGCTGCTAAATCTCATTCATAGACTCATTTATGGAAATAAAGGGAAGATTTGTTTTGTAGCAACCTATTTACCATGTACTATATTTTCCTCAAAGTTCTTAACCTTATGCGCTCTTGCAGGATTGATTTGAGTTTTTATTAAGAACTATAAAGTCTTGATTTTTGGCTAATATTCCTTTTCAAGTCTTTGGTGTTTATCTAGCAGTTCTTCTTTCCTGTATCCAGGGGACCCAGACTGACTGGTAACCTCCAGGTGACCTCTGGGTGTTAGCACCTGCAAAACAGTGGGGAGTGGGGTATTCTGTCATTTTTTACTTAACATTATTTTCAATATAGAGTCTGGTGAAATTATCAGGATGATATTTACACATGTTTTTAAACATTTATTGTGCTTTTGTGCTATTGTTAAAATAGAACATAAACTTGGTTCTTTGAAAATAATTACTTTTAAGTTTAGTTACTTCATTAGGTAATATACTGCTCAACCTTGCTGGATATCAACAATTTGACATTGTCATGACTACCACAATATTTATCTCTTGCTCATGTCACCTGAGTCTTGCAGGTCAGCCACAGGTGAACTACTCAGCATCACTTTTTCTTCTGAGAAACAGCCACCAGCATAGGCATGATATTGTGTTTATAGTTTAAAATGTTCTTTTACTGTCTTCTCCCAGTTTCCTGAAAAGTAAAATTAGTAGACTTCTGTTTAGAGCTAACAATTTTTAAATATCTTTACTGTTATCAAAAAAATACACAGTGATTTAAGATGCACTTTTCTGGTGTATTCAAATGGTTGTCTTATACAAAAGATATGATTTTTATCTGATTGCAAATGTTATTTATGCTCAAGAAGAGAAGTAATTTTAATGCAAAATGTACTTGAAACTTTGAAAACATGGATGGATCAGGACAGCACTCAGCATTTCACTTCATTTTATGTTGCAGCATTCCCGTTCCAAGCCCCTCAATTTCCCAGATCCATTTCACTCCTCCCTTGAGATAGTAGAGTCTCACAATGATGTAGTGTTCTCAGACTTCCCAATTACAAAAATCAGACGTATTTCACAAAAACAGTTTGGCTTGCTTCTGCCTTAGCCTGGGGGTAAGCCACATAACCACTTTGCTTTAAAATATGCACCTCTCAGGAATTTGGAAAAACCATTACAGAATAGAAAAGCACCATGATTGGTGCTAAAGCATATTACATACAATGCGTAAGTTCACAAGCTTCTCCAGGATGACCTGCCAGTGGCAGAACCTAAAACAAACACATTTTCTCAGCAGAGAAAAATGTAAATATTTCTTTGTTGTGGTTAATTTTGTTTGTTCTTCTTAAATAACATCTTGCCTTTGTGCAGGGAGGTGGAGAAGAGGTTGAACAACTGATAAAAGCTAGAATGTATTCACAGTGACCAACTGTCTCCTCCCATGTACTTCCTAACTGAAATGGGAAAGTAGCATCTTTACTCTGGACCCCACCTTTTCCAAGTGACCAAAGTTAATGTGATCCATAGAGCACAGATGCCTGTGATGCCCCTGCTAACATGCATAATCAGAGCCTAATCACAAGGAAATATCAAAAGTCCAAAATCAAAGGACAAGCTACACAGTAACTGGCCGGTATTCTTTGCCTGTTTTTGTTGTTGTTTTGGTGGTACTAGAGTTTGAACTCAGGGCTTCACACTTACTAGGCAAGTGCTCTACCACTTGAGCCACACCACCAGCCTGGCCTGCATTCCTCAACATTTCCAATTTCTGGAAAATAAAAATCGAGAAACCTGCAGGTTCAAGGAAGGTAAAGGTAATCAAACAAAGGCAGTCCATTGTCCTGGATTGGATCATAGATTAGGAAGATAAAATGACTGTAAAGGAAATTACCAGTATAATTGGCACCATTTGAGTATGGATTTTGGATTAGATATTAGGCTAATCAATTATTGCTAAATTTCCAGATTTTGAAGGTACTTTATATTATGTAAGAGACTATCGTTGTTTTCAGGAAGTACATTGAAATATTTAGGTAGGAAGGGGCATGCTGTCTACAACAAAAAACTTTCATATGAGTAAGAAAAGAATACCTTGAGGTTGAGGAGAGGAGAGAGACCACGGTGGAGTCAATAATTAATCTGTGTAAAAATTAAGTAGCAAATTCTGTGCTATTCTTTCAGATTTTCTGTAAATTTGAAATTATAGCCAAAAGGTTTCAGCCAGGCACCAGTGGCTCACACCTGTAATCCTAGCTACTCAGGAGGCAGAGATCAGGATTGCAGTTTGAAGCTAAACCTGGCAAATAGTTAGTGAGACCCTATCTCAGAAAAACCCATCACAAAAATGGGCTGGTGGAGTGGCTCAAGGTGTAGACCCTGAATTCAAATCCCAGTACTGCAAAAAAAAAAAAAGTTTAAAAAGGAAGATACACAAAAGTGTTTGATTTGTAGAAAATTAATATACTTTTACTTCATTTGATAAGGACTTCAGTTTTAGGCATGAATCCATGTCAGTCAGTTTTTGGTTTGTGATCTAAGAACATAAGAAAGTAACTAGAAAATTAGGTTTTTGTCTGAGTCTAGTTGAGCACACAAAAACTTAATGAGATAAAGCAGTATAGTAAGTTAATTGTGCATAGCATTTAATATCACCTTAAAGCAGATCAGCAACTGTTTTTATAAAGGGCCAGATGGCAAATATTTTCAACTTTCTGGTAATTGTGGTCTCTCCCACAATTGCTCAGCTCAGCTTTTATGGTATGAAAGCAGCCATAGGCTATGCATTTGTGAACAGTGTAGCTTTGTACCAACAAATCATTATTTACAAAGAAAGTTGCAGCTTTATTTGGCCTATGGGCTATAGTTGGCTGAGTCCTGCTCTAAAATGTCAATATGGTCACCTGGCAAGAACAGGAGTAACTTAAGTAAAGTTTGGGAAGAGTTTATATAGAGTTGCTGCACACCTGCAGATTGGTAAAAGGCACCATTGAAAGGATAGAGTTTGGTGGTGAAGAAGGCCTGAGAGGTAGTCAGACCTTGGTTCAGATCCACACAGCATCGCTCACTAGTGATTATCCACTTCTGAAGTGGAATTCATCAACCCCTGGTCAGAACTCTTCAGAGTGTTACAAGGGTCCTCTTACCATGTCTGCATGGTGCCTTCTCACTGCTTTCCTGGTTTCTCCTGGTCTTCTTCTCAGCTCCCAGAAGGATCCCACCAAAGCAGACATTGAATCATGTCCTTCTGTTGCTTAACATCCCCTGCTTTCCCGTCTTAGTTAGATGGGCCCGAGACTATTCACCATGCCTGTGGTGCCTGTGTCCTTCTCCTCCTGGTCTCTTGTCTTCTCTTTCCTGGCCAAAACCATTCTCCTTACAGTTTAGGGCCTTTGAACTTATTTTTCTGTGTGTCTTGGAGGCTGTCATCTTGACAGCCAATGAACGTTCATTCTTATGATCATCTCTCACATTAATGAAGCTCTTCCTTGGCTCCTGGCTTTACAATTTTGAGTAGCCACTCAGTGCATCTCTGTCACATCTTTCAGTTCTCCACTCTATTTGTTGTCTTTCTTCTCTTTGCTAGAAAATGTTCTCTGTCTTATCACCATGGTATCCTCAGCCCTTACAAAGTAAGCCATCAGACTGAGGATATAGCTCAGTGGTAGAGCACTTACCTAGGATGCCCAAGACCCTAGGTTCTATCCCCAACATTTTGAGAAAAAAAGAGTAGGCAATCAATAAATACATATGGAATTGCTATAATGGGTTAGTATTTATAAAGTGCCTACAAGCTCTGACTCATAACTGAGTCCTCAGTAAGTATAAGGTATAACCATTAATAATGAGCAATAAAGTGTATAGACTTCCCTCAACAGTGTATGGAAATGCATTATAAGGCTTGAACTTATGACATATAAAGAAATATCTAAAGTTGAAGGTCAATTCTTCCTATGAAGAAGAAAAGTCACAAAGCAATTTACAGCCAGGATTTGATTATTTATACAGATTCTATAGTAATGAAATGATTAAAAGTCTGTGAGTGAATTTTAATGGCTTTCTCCTGGGGCTTTCAAGCTGGCAGGACTAATGTCTTCTCTTTCTTCCAAGCCATGTTTGTGAGCATGAACAGGAAGGTACACTGAGCCTCAGGGATGGAGGGTGGGAGAAAAGCTGGGGCCTGCAGAATCTTGATTGAATAATGGTGTAATTGGGCTCTCTCTTGGTTTTAGACGTTCATACAGAAGCTGTTCAGGCAGCTCTTGCTAAACACAAAGAAAGGAAGATGGCGGTGCCCATGCCTTCCAAACGCAGGTCCCTGGTCGTGCAAACCTCGATGGATGCCTACACGCCTCCAGGTGAGCAGCACACTCACATTTCTGCTTCTTAAATGTGACAAGAATGCCTTAGAAGTAATTGATCGCTAATTCAGCATCTTTTTAGCTTTCAAAATAATGACAATAAAAAACTTAATGGTAAATGATAATTTAGACTTTTATGAATCAAAAGTCCCAAAACAGTATAATACTTAAATGAAATGTGAAAGGAAAATTAACAATATATATGTACCTGTATAAATAGTTTTAGATTTTTCATCTGTACTCTTAGGTATAATAGTCTTCCAAAATTTTGTTCATTTATTTCTTTATGTAGAAAAGTGTTTGTGCCCCTGTAATTAAAGGTGGACTTTTCCTGTACTTAGATTCGTACATACATATTCTCAAGTCATTATTTATAATATAAGTGTGCTGTGTTGTAATGTTGAAGGAACCAAGTGAACTGGCCCGTTTAGATAGTTACCTGAATCTGGAGTCATCTGAATCTGGAGTCATCAGGCTTTTGCCTATAAAGTGCCAGAACATTTTTAACTATTACAAGCCATGGATCTCAACTCCTCAACTCTGCCATTGTAGCATGAAAGCAGCCAGCCATAGACAGTATGTCAATGAATGAATGTGATGTGTTCACAGTAATTTGAACACAGGCCTATCAACTCCTGATCTGAAGGCTTGAAGTAATAACCTCTTCATATTTCTGTATTGATCCATTTTCTGTTGCCATAATAAAACACTTGTTTTGGGGGGGGGGTGCATTATGAAGAGAAGAGCTTTACTCAGCTTACAGTTCTGGAGGTTCAGGAGGAAGGTGCTGCCTGTACTTAGTTCTGACTGTGGCAGAACATGGTAGATGACATCATGTTGAGTGCGAGAGGGAGACAGTTCTCTTGGTGAGACAGGAAGCCACAGGGGGCCACTCTTGCTCTTTTTATGACAACTTGCTCCCACAGGAACTAAGTGGGGTCCTTTGAGAACTCTTACCAGTTCCTTGCGAGGACACACTCCCTTATCTTAATTACCTTGTACCACATCCCACTTCTTGAAGGTTCCACCACCTCCCAGCATTCTCATACTTAGGACCAAGTGTCCAACATTTGGGGGAAACCTCAAAACTATAGCAGTTAGACAATACTAGTTTTATATAAATCTTGAATTCTGTAAAAAATTCTTTACAACTTCCCGAGTTCTCTATTTTACTCTGCCCAGATATTTAAAAACTATCTCATGGTCTTCTGAGCCCAAACAAAGCAGAAAGTTTTTTATCTAGGTATCTGCTAGAGACATGAAGGATTTGACCTACTTTACCTGATGAGCTCTTTCTTTTTGGTTTTGACATTGTTCATGTCTGTATTTGTCCATTTTTAGTTGCTCATAACCGCATTACAGACTGGGTAAATTACTAAGAAAAGAAAAAAAAAGTTTATTTTGGCTCCCAGTGTTGGAGGTCCAAGGCAAGGGGTAGCTTCTGGTGATGGTTTCCTGTTGGCATTGTCTCCAGGTAGTGTAGGGCATCACATGGTGAGAAACTCTGTGTGTGTCTGTCTGTCTGTCTGTCCATCTCTGTCCCTGTCTCTGTCTTTCTGTATTATAAAGCTACCGTGATTCAGTCATGAGGCTCTACCCTCAGGACTCTGATCCTAATCACCTCCCAAATGCTCCACCCTAAACAGGGAGGGTGGATCAGGTAGGTAGACCCTCCTAACCATTTCAACCAGGATTAAATCTCAACATGTGAAAAGAAACCTTGGGGAACACACTCAAGCCAAAAGCAAACCCTAGCAGTGTCATGGTTGCCAGTCTTTCTGTTCTTCAGACCTGGGTTGCCTTGCACAGCACTGTGAACAGCTTGGAATGCCACCCTTTTCCGCAGAAGAGAAACTCAAAGTATAATTGGAAGACATTTGAAGTTTAGTCCTGAGTGTTAGAGGCGGATACAAGGACACACTGCAAATCAGAGCCGTGACCAAGCATATATCAATGTTTTTTTCAAGCAAGTCTTAAGTGTATAAGTGTACATGCCTTTAAAAGTAAAAGTACTGTGCTTATGAACCATGATTTATAGTGTATACTTTGTTCTTTTTTGTTGTTGTTGTTATGGTTTGCTTATTACAGGAGGCCTCCCAGCTGTTCTTCATCTTAACAATAGAGTATTCTTATAGGCAAAGGAATAATTTCTTGCTAATTTGCTTATTCTTCCTTTATGCTAACCTACAAAACACAATGTGGGAGTATTTTAAAGAATTATTTTGCTTAATTCTGTTTAGATTATTATGGTTAGAATTTGCTAAAATCCTACAGTTTTTTATTTTGTAGATAGAGTTTAAAAATTCAAAATATTTAATCAGAATTTTGGCATTAATTAGTATCCCACTAGTTGTGGGATATTGATCTCAACCACTTTGTATGAAAGAAATGATGAGTTTGAAATGGAAGAAGCAGTGTGATTATTTTTATATTTGTTTATTTCTCACATTGAATCTGTCTACTGAGAAATGTGTCCCACATAATGAAAGACAAAAGTTTCATGATGAAAAACAAGCCTTGTATCAATGTCCTGGCAAAACATAAAGAACATTCAAGAAGGGTGGCTTACACCTGTAATTCCAGCTACTCGTGTAATGGAAATTAGGGGGATCGCAGTTCAAGGCCAGCTTGGACAAACAGTGAGACTCCCTTCTCAATCAATAAACGCTGGCCCTGGTGTCTTTTGCCTCTTACCCAGCTACAAGGGAAGCATAAACAGGAGACTGTGGTTCAGGCTGGCCCAGGCAAAAACATGAAACCCTATTTGAAAAACAACTAATTAAGAAAGAGAGGGATGGGCTGGAGGCATTGTTCAAGTGGTAGAATGCCTGTCTGACAAGCACAAGACCCTTAGTTCAAACTCCAGTACACTCCCCCAACCCAACCCCATAAAGTACATTGTTGGAAGTGTTCATTTTGGGGAAACATTTCCATTTAATTATTGGCATTTTCATGTACATCGTACATTTCACATACCTTAATTGGGAGTCCTAGAGATAGTATCCTGTGCATTAGTTTTGCACAACCATGCCAGTCAGCACTATCAGCCTAAAATTTTTTATTCACAAGCTACTTTGTGCTTAGCAGTAGCCTACATATTCATCCCGCATGTAAACAAAACCTTAGCTGAATTTTCTCTCATCTATTTCCCTTGATTGCTGTTAGAACTTACTGCATGTCTATTGCCTTACACAGAAGATTCCTGAAATCTGTATTCTCTGTGTGACTTGACTGGTGGCTGATCAGTTCCTAGTTTCTGGAAAAGCTTTAGTTAGAATGTTGCACTGCTGACCATGCATTGATGAAATGTTCCTTTAGCTTTTATGGAGAAAATTGTCAGAATGATTTCTGAGACTTCTGGCCATAATGAAGTTACTGGTTCCCAGGTAACAAACTCACGATAAACAGCTACAAAACTGCACAAATGAGACAACTCTTTTTAGTCTCTGGACCAAAAATGGTACAAGGCTGAACCTGATTAATAAAATTAAATTACCTATTGATTTTTTTTGGGGGGGGGCGTGGTAACTGGAATTAGAACTCAGAAATTTTGTACTTGCTAGGCAGGTGTTCTGCCACTTGAGCCATACCTCCAGTAACCTGTTGTTTTTTAATGTGGTCACTAAAAGGCTTAAAAGGTACAGGCAGGGATCTCATGTTTCCATTGGAAAGTCCTGGTCTAGGTGTTTGATACGGCAAAGAGCATTTTAAATCTGCAACTATAAATATTTATTCAGGCAATAAAATAAAGATATGTCAAAGAACTAAAGGAAAATGTTACTGTAATGTTTGAGCTGAGCAGACAAAGAGGAAATTTTTTAAAAAAAAATAATGGATATAAGGGAGTTTCAGGTTGCCCATGTAAGGGCTTGGGAGTGTCCACTACCTCCTGAACAAACTGAGAAATCAACACTTCTTCTTAGTGCGCTAGAGACCTTAGGTTGCCCCTAGAATTGGAGAGACAGATGGGTAGAATTGGTGATTCACAAAGTACTGGAGAAGGTGCCTCTACAGGAACCAGTGCCAGGGCAGGAAAGCCTGAATGGCCATTCACAGATTGTTGGAGGAGAGGGGTGGACAGGTCTGAATTGAAAATTTCCCAGAGGATTTGTTCATCCAGGGTCCCCTACACACTTGTAAGTTTCCCTTCAGAAGGTTAACCAGGTTCTCAAGCATGTATCAGAGAAAAATCCTGGCATGCTTCTTGCAGGGAAAAGGATTCGTTTTGAAATATGCCAGCATCCTGTTAACAAGGTCTGATTTCAGGAGAAACTAGTTAACTAGAAACCAAACTTTGGGGTTTTATGAAAGCCTAACTGACCTGCAGAGAATTATTCAACTTCAGCCCCCTCTAGCCTTCCTGTCACACCTAATGCAAGGAGAACAAACACCAGAGGGACGTTTGTGAAGTTTAAAGTCCAGAGGATACGTTCACTGAACGTCTGAGACCTAGTGGCTGTGCGTGGGTAGGGCTATAGGAGATGCTGATATACCTTACTGTTAATTTTATTGTGAACTTTAATTAAGAGATTGTCTTTTTCAAAAATGGCTGGAGACTCTAGAACTGAAGGTAAAACACAGGAATGAAATTGTACCTGGTGGGCTTAACAAGTTGGGGAAGGAAGATGAACTGTGTGAACTAGAAGAGAAATTAACCAGATGGAAGCACAGCAAAACAAAAAGAAAAATTAAAAGAACCTGAAGCACTACTGGGGGGTTAAGAGGGATTGAAAAAAGGACAGAATAGACAAACCATTTGAAGAAATGGGTCAAAAATTTTTTTAAATTGATGTGAAATACCAAACTGCAGAAGGTCAGTGGGTTCTAAGCAGAGTGAGTATAAAAAGAGTTGTGCCAAAATTCAAAAATAAATTGACTATAAATGTAAGACTTTATTTCTGGATTCAATTGGACCCACTAATACAGATGCCTATTACTGTGCAATTGCTACCACTATCTTAATGACTATAGCTGTCATAAAATTATAAAATCAGATAGGGAAGTACTACAGCTTTGTATTTAAAATTATTTTGGTTATTCTAGGTCTTTTGTATTTCTAAATAAATTTTAGAATAAGCTTTTAATTTATCTACTCTACTCTCCCCCCAAAGTCTTCTGGGATTTAAGATTTACCTTGGATTTATGGATCAACCTGGGGAGAGCTGCCACCTTCACAACACCGAGTTTTCCAGTCCACAAACACAAACATCTGTTTTTAATTAAATTTCCATTTGTTTGTCTCTAACTTCTCTCACTAATGTTTCATAGCTTTCAGTCTGTACATCTAATACCTTTTTGTTAGTTGTTTTGGTGACTGTTTTATGTTTTTTCAATGCTGTTTTTTGAATGAAGTTGTTTTAGTTTGGTTTTCAGATTGCTCACTGATAGTAACTGTGTTTTATCTTGTATTCTGTGATCCTGCTGAGATCATTTTTTAGTAATCCAAGAGAATTTTGGTGGATTGTTTGCAGCTTTCTACATATAGGATCAGATCATCTGTGAATAATGGACTTTCATCTTTTCTAATCTGGATATCTCTAATTTATTGTTTTATCAGTTCATTTCACTAACTAGAACCTCCCAGATAATGGTGAATAGAAGTGGCAGGAGGAGATATCCTTGCCTTGTCCTCAGTCTTAGAGGGATGCATTCAGTCTTTACCATTAGCTACACATGGTGGTTTCATGAACGCCACTTTAGCAGGTTGAAGAAATTTCTTGCTATTCCTATTTGTTGAAAGTTTTAATCTTTCTACAAAAGTATTTTATCAAATACTTTTCCTATGTCTTTTGAGATGTATTTTTCCTCTTTATTCTACTAATATCTGTAATATCAGTTCACTTTTGAATGTTATGGCAACCTTAATTCCTGCTGATTGTGTATAATTCTAGTAACACTTGGCCATGGCATATTACCACCTGCTTATGTGAATGTTGCTTGCTTAGTTTGCTAATATTCTGTGGAAGACTTTCGTGTATACATCATGAGTGGTGTCACTCTGTAGTCTTCTCATGAAAGATGAGGATGGTGGTGATAAGGAATGAAGAATTCACTAAAAAAGGGCAGACGGGGAGACGTGTGTTCTCTGGGGAGATATTTATGTTTGGTGTGGCTATATAGGTGTGTGCATTCCTCTAAAGTCTTTTAAGTCTGAATGTAGAAAATGTGTAAATTTAATTTTATATAGATGGTATTTTCATACCAATTATGTTAAAAGGCAGAATAGCAGGAGAGAATTTTCCTTATATTATTGTTTTTCCAACAAATTTCTAACAAGTAAACTTTAAAAAATTTCTACACAGCATAGGTTACATGATAATAGTATAGATAGTCTTTATAATTGTTGTGTTTTAGTAATTCTTTGTTTTCACATTAGTTATCTTTACTCTTCTGTTAAATGCTCTAGAGCTGCTCACATACCTTCTTGCCTCTCAGAAGCTTCTAGGCATCTCACACAACTCACCTGCAGGAGGATCCTAAGAGTCCTTCTTACACTGAAGCTTACATAGCAATATTCATTCCTAACAGACGTGTTCCTAACTGAAAAGTTATCAAATGAAAAATGTTTCCATGGATTTCTGTGAAAAAGCATTGACATGACTTCTCTAAACCCATGTTACCTAGTTTTCACCAATAAAGTAAATCACCTAAATGAGGCAAATATCTTATAAGAGATGAATATTGTAAAAATATTTAGTTTGAGCATAAAGCAAAATGTGATAGGAGTTTACAGTATGCCCCAAATGAAGAGGCAGAGACCCCAAGAGTGTGAGATTGGTGGAGAGGAAATGGGGGCCACGCATTGTAAGGTGTGTCCTTCTTTCCATACCATTTCTTTGTCTATAGCTGAATCTTTGAGGAGGCCTATGGGTGTCTTGTGTTCATATTAAGCTTAAAAATTAATTACAACTCAGAAAAGCACTTGAAGACTACCAAAGTGCTGAAAACAATCACTTTGAAACCCCTAAAATCAGGACATGCACCCAACATCTCTTAGAAAGTGCTGTCCATCTTCTCACTTAGTAGGTGTGTGCAAGGAAAATACTGGTTTCTTCCCAAATTGTTGTGTTAAGGAAATCATTGAGTGTCTTTGTCTTGTATTATTATGTTGAAATATTTTATAACATATTAAAGGTATTTTGGATATAAAACACATCATACTAGAAAAAAGATGCATTATTCAGAAAATGGTGTAATACTTCAAGAATATTTGAAGCAAAAAAGTCATTGCCTGTGTTTCCTGAGGTGAGTCTTTGTTGGCAGTGTAAGGAGGGATTGTGATGAGGGTTTTCTTTGCTGCAATAGATAGCAAATCGTATTTCTTCTTCCACACAGATACCTCTTCTGGTTCAGAAGACGAAGGCTCGGTGCAGGGCGATTCCCAGGGAACCCCCACCTCCAGCCAAGGCAGCATTAACATGGAGCACTGGATCAGTCAGGCCATCCATGGCTCCACCACATCCACCACCTCTTCTTCTTCCACGCAGAGTGGGGGCAGCGGGGCTGCCCACCGGCTGGCAGATGTTATGGCCCAGACACACATAGGTGAGTGTACCTGACAGGCTGGCTGAGTTCACCTTTCCCAATATCTATTCTCTATGTTTCCTAGGCAAGCACTGAGTATTTGGTCATTCTCTGTTTGTATCTTGGCTATGGAGAATATCTGATAGACATGGACATTATTCCTGAAGGGGCTATGGTTTTACCATTTTCTGGAATTCTTGCTTCTCTCACATGTGGAATCGTAGGATCTTTCTATTCATGAAGGAGTGCATTCTTATTCATGAGAGAAATTAGCAGCCTTGTCAGCTTCCGTGTTTTTGTCTCACTTACGCAAAACCATGTTCTCCATGAATTTTAATGGTGCTGATAATTAAGACAGGCTTAAGTGGAGTTGTGTTACTTTGGGAATCATTTGAGGAATTTGGGGGTCCCTTATCGCTACCTTTTATGCTGTTTTCTGCCATAGGTGTTCAAATTTCCTAGATGCCTCACACTATTTTGTGTGCAGCTTCAATAACGAGGGAGATATTCTGGATTACAAATAATACAAGATCGGAAACATTGCTCTGAGATGTTTGAAAGTAGTGTAGGGAATGATATAAAGTGAGAATTATTAGAGGAAAGGAATCAGAGTGTGGTGGATAAATGAGTGGCTGTGTGAAATATGAGTGGTGGTAGCCATTGTTCTGCCTCCACTTGTGCCGGGGGGCCTGTCACTCATTATGCATGGGTGAATCTTCACATGCAGTGGGGAAGTAGAACATCTGTGTCTGTTCTTACCCATTTTCCACTGTAGATTAAGGTGTTTTAGCGATTCAGTTTTACAAGTGTTTTGTAAGATAAATGACTTGTTTTGAGTATGGTTTGCTATGGTCTCTTCATTACAACAACAATCTAGAGGAAGGGCCAGGCCCATGGAGGCGGCAGCAGCACACTGTGTTGACCAGGATAAAGGAGCAAGAGATACAGATACAGAACCCCCAGCTGTATCTGAACTAATCTAATGTACGGCGATCTCAGGTCTGATTCTCCCCTGCAGTAGGAGACAGGAAAGGTAACGGGTACGTTAAATACTCCATTATTATTTCGGCTTCCCAGAGTACATCTTTAACTATTTGATGGACAGGCAGAGTAGTTTCAAACTGACATTTTTTTTTTAATTTTATTCATATGTGCATACAATGTTTGGGTCATTTCTCCCCGCTCCCCCCACCCCCTCCCTTACCCCACCCTGCCCCCTCCCTTACCCCCCCAACCCCTCACTACCAGGCAGAAACTATTTTGCCCTTATCTCTAATTTTGTTGTAGAGAGAGTATAAGCCATAATAGGAAGGACCAAGGGTTTTTGCTAGTTGAGATAAGGATAGCTACATAGGGAGTTGACTTGCATTGCTTTCCTGTACATGTGTGTTATCTTCTAAGTTAATTCTTCTCAAACTAACCTTTTCTGTAGTTCCTGGTCCCCTTCTCCTATTGGCCTCAGTCACTTTAAAGTATCTACATTAGTTTCTCTGCAGTGAGGGCAACAAATGCTATCTAGTTTTTGGGTGTCTTACTTATCCTCCCTTGTGTGCTCTCGCTTTATCATGTGATCAAAGTCCAATCCCCTTGTTATGTTTGCCCTTGATCTAATGTCCGCATATGAGGGAGAACATACGATTTTTGGTCTTTTGGGCCAGGCTAACCTCACTCAGAATAATGTTCTCCAGTTCCATCCATTTACCTGCAAATGATAACATTTTATTCTTCTTCATGGCTGCATAAAATTCCATTGTGTATAAATACCACATTTTCTTAATTTATTTGTCGGTAGTGGGGCATCTTGGCTGTTTCCATGACTTAGCTATTGTGAATAGTGCTGCAATAAACATGGGTGTGTAGGTGCTTCTGGAGTAACCTGTGTCACATTCTTTTGGGTATATCCCCAAGAGTGGTATTGCTGGATCATATAGTAGATCTATATTTAGATTTTTAAGAAGCTTCCAAATTTTTTTCCAGAGTGGTTGTACTAGTTTGCATTCCCACTACCAGTGTAAGGGGGTTCCTTTTTCCCCTGCATCCTCGCCAACACCTGTTGTTAGTGGTGTTGCTAATGATGGCTGTTCTAACGGGTGAGGTGAAATCTTAGTGTGGTTTTAATTTGTATATCCTTCATTCCTAGGGATAGTGAGCATTTTTTCATGTGTTTTTTGGCCATTTGAATTTCTTCTTTCGATAAAGTTCTGTTTAGTTCACTTGCCTATTTCTTTATTGGTTCATTAATTTTGGGAGGTTTAGTTTTTTTGAGTTCCCTATATATTCTGGTTATCAGTCCTTTGTCTGATGTGTAGCTGGCAAATATTTTCTCCTACTCTGTGGGTGTTCTCTTCAGTTTAGAGACCATTTCTTTTGTTGAGCAGAAGCTTTTTAGTTTTATGAAGTCCCATTTATCTATGCTATCTCTTAGCTGCTGAGCTGCTAGGGTTCCAATGAGAAAGTCCTTGCCTATATGTATTAGTTCCAAAGTATTTCCTACTCTTTCCTGTATCAACTTTAGAGTTTGGGGTCTGATATTAAGATCCTTGATCCACTTTGAGTTAATATTGGTATAGGGTGATAAACATGGGTCTAGTGTCAGTTTTTTGCAGACTGCTAACCAGTTTTCCCATCATAAATTTTTAGCGCCTTTGTCAAACATAAGTTGGTTATAGTTGTGTGGCTTCATATCCAGGTCCTCTATTCTGTTCCACTGGTCTTCATGTCTGTTTTTGTGCCAGTACCATGCTGTTTTTATTGCTATTGCTTTGTAATATAGTTTGTAGTCGGATATTGTGATATCTCCAGTGTTGTTCTTTTTACTGAGTATTGCCTCGGCTATTCGTGGCCTCTTGTGTTTCCATATAAATTTAATGGTAGATTTTTCAATCTCTTTGATGAATGTCATTGGGATTTTGATGGGAATTGCATTAAACGTGTAGATTACTTTTGGGAGTATAGACATTTTTACTATGTTGATTCTACCAATCCATGAGCATGGGAGATCTCTCCACTTTCTATAGTCTTTCTCAATCTCTTTCTTCAGAAGTCAAACTGACATTTTAAGTCTTAACTGTATTTGCTCTCACTGAATGACGTTAAAATTAAAAAGCATCAGCCCTGTACTTATCCTAAATGAAGAGGTTTATCTGTTGCCCAGAGAGGGGGCTCTGCTCTCAGTTCTCCCATTAACAAAAACTGGTACCTTGAAGTCACTTACCAGCTTTATCTTTTCAGTCAAAAAAGAGGGAAATAATTTCTCTCTTTTGTACCTCTCAGAATTGTTGAGTAAAAATGAGGAACAGGAAAATTCTTCACAAGTTTTTAAACTAATATTCCAGTGCAATGTGGTGTTACTAGATTTCCATTTAACACATTTTCAGGAACATATACACTTGTTCATGTGAACTAATAACCTCTGTTTAAAAATCACAGTAAGTTAAACAGTAGACAGAAACCTGTCACTATTAAATATTTTTAGAGAAAAAAATTTCTTGTGTGTGTCTGAGCCTGGGATGGTGACCAAGGCTCTCTCAGCTGTACCTGGCACCTAAGTGAGATACCACCTTTGCTACTTTGAAGCATTTGTAGTCTCTGATTTTTGTGCACATTATGGAGGTGCTCAGAACCTTACACAGAGGACATATTGTTGAAGAAATTAATCACAGTACTTGGCTTTCCCTTTCTGAGTTTACACTTGAAATACTGGATGAAATTATAGCATGAAGAATTAAATTCATCCAAACTATAAAAGGTTGCATTAGTCATGTGCATCAAAGCTCAGTGTAACCTAAATATAACTCCTGAGTGTGTGACATTTCAGGAATTTCTCATTTGGCACAAAAATACGTTCCTAGAATATCTAGTAGTTTTCTGTCAGTGTGATTTTTCTTTCTTTCTTTTTTTTTTTGGAAAGAAAGCAGTGGCAAAAAAATGAAATCTGATGAGAACTAGAATGCTTTATTCCTGTGACAAAACAGAAGAAGCAAATATATCAAAATTGGGAGCATTTGACCTTTTTTTGAGATCACTGAAAGCCTAGGAACAAGAAAATAGCTAATATGTGTAAGTGTGCATGTGTGAAAGAGCTAAAGCAAGATAAACCTCAGAGTCCTGTTTGTTAGTCCCTTTGGTGAAGTGCTTATCGTACATGGAAAAGAAAATCCAAGAGGTTGAAGACCACACAGAATCTCCCTCAAAGTGGGCCATTCTTCTTTGTTGTTGAATTAAAATCTCAAGTCCTTTATTTGTTATTCCACAAATTTCACTATGCTAACACTTAAGTGGGGACATTTCCCATTGAATTTCAGTAGTCAAGCCAGTTTAGCCTGGGTTGCAAAATTCCTTTCTGGGTTGTTTTTGTTTGTTTGTTTTCTTTTTCTCCTGCTCTCTCAAGATGTGGGACATCTTTTGAGCTTTGCTCATAACCCTCTTACGACTGTGACAACAAACACTCCAACCTAAGGACGTTAGGTTCTGAGAAGGTGTCAGCTGCTAATGCAAGAAAGTCAAGTCTGCCATTGTGCTTACCTCTTGCATCACAGGTAGACTCATCTGTGGACTGCATTCAGGCTTTCTCTCTATCACAAGAACCAGAATCAGTATTGCTCATTGCCAGAAAGCAGTTATTAAAACCTTAGAACTGGGGATATAGGTCAGTGGTACAGTGCTTGTCTAGCATGTGCAAAGCCCTGGATTCAAACCCCAATGCCACAAAAAACGTAAGACACAAGAACTTTAAAACAACTAGAAATTAATGGATGATAATGTAAAATATTTAAACAGAATTAAAAATTGAGGAGCCTACCCAATGAAATGATTCTAAACTTCAAGAGAGCTAGTAGATTTAATGGGATGTTTTCAAACTTCAAGAAGTATGATTGTGAAAAGTGTTTTTAGTAAAATATTATAGAAATTATGTAACTATAAGAAATGGAGAAATTGAAGAGATGCTATATTTCAGTGTAAGAAATAAGAACAAGACAAAATAGGTAACATTTTTATTGTTGTCTTTTCAGAATCAAGCT